GTTCTATTGTGGTTTATGCGCTATTGGCGAAGTAGATATAATTCAATCCGATAAGTTTAAATGAAATGCAAGAAAAAATGCATATAATTTAATATTCCGTACAAGGAAGTCATGTACACATCAGATTTTTTTTTTACTGTTGATGTATTATTTTTCTTTGTATCAGTATTATTTTTAAGCATTTTTCATTTTTATTATTGTATTATTTTAAGTTGGTTTATTCTCTTTTATAGGAGAACTAGCATAGTTTAATCATTAATGGTATATGTTAGCATTTTTGTTATATAGTATTTGTATTTCATACATACATATATATATATATATATATATATATATATACTGTTTTCTTTGCTCTCTCTTCAGGCCTAGATTTTATGTTTTTATTGTTGAGTCCCTTGTACTGTGAGTTATTTACTTACATTTGTAAGCCTTGTAGTGGAATACTTCATGGAACATTAGGAGTTTTGTATTTGTTTTCTTAATTACAAAAAAAAAAAAAAAAAAAAAAAAAAAAAAAAAAAAATTCCTCGCGCAAATTTTAATTCAACAAAACTTTTAACGATAATTTAATCTTAATACAAGATACATAATTTTTTATAACAAAAGCATTATATTATTATTGCTTCATAATCTACAGGCGTTCTCCCCATGTCAAGCAAACATAATTTAACATTAATTAACATTAATTGTAAGCAAACATAATTTAAGTCTCCATCCTATACACTCTTTTTTCTGGCTACAAATTCGCAACTTATTTGTATTCAAATTTCTTTTTATTTTTTTTTTTTCCTCGTGCTGTTTAACGAGGCAGTTAGAAGATGACTTGGCAATGTAATTTTTTTTTTATTATTATTTCAGAAAACAATTCCGAGCTTAATTAAGTGTAAATTATTCCCCACATCTCTGCAGGAAAGACAGAACTCCAGGGTTAAAAAGGTTAGTAAGTCGTCTCACTAAATTGTCTTCGCAATGAGAGAAGTGAAAATTTAACGGGACTCTTTCTCCCCTTTTCCTCTTCTACCACCTCTTCATCCATTCAAATCCCATTAAAAACACCGGAAAAGAAATGTGTTCTGCTGTCAGAAAGAGTTCTTCACGTTCGAGGAATTTAAGGCATTCCTGTGGCTTGTTATTGCTATTTAATGGTCTACTTAAAGCAGTGTCTTCCCATGACTCATTTGCAATTAAATTATTCTACTGCCAGTCATGGAATGAGATTTCATGCATTCAGGGCCTGCGTTTTTATTCTTAATGAGAACATTTTAATAGAAATAATTTTTAAAGTCTTTTCTAAATTATTCTGTTTTAATTTTTGAGCAGTTAATAGTAAATTAACAAAGATGCCCCAAAATGGCGCTATTACGGAACTATGAACATCATGCAGTTCTGTTAAGTTTGCATGTAGGTCGTTTTGCAATTATAAGGAAATCGTGAGATTTAAAAATTTAATATCGCTATAATGCTATATGAACCTAAAGATATTTTTGCATTAAGAACATTTTAGCAGTAATAACTGCCTTACAGAAATCGGAATAAAAATTGGATTCCCGAAACTGCTGGCACGGTTTTGTGCAACAACTCTAAAATCTGTAAAATTTGTATAACTTTTACTACTTTGGACACAAAAGCCGCCGAAGTCTGTGTTGGATATTTTGACCGCTTTCGAAAATCCTTTCATTTCACGATTAACTCTCTCATATTATATGTTAAGGGTAAAAATAAAATATTCAACAATAATTTACTATTTTACCGTTTTTATGCATGTAAGCAAAAAATTGTATAAGCAAAATTCATTATCGAAAGAAAAATTATCGAAAAAAAAAAAAATAAATCATTATCGAAAACATAGATGGAGTAGGTTAGAGTAAGTATGCATCACGATGTTTTTGTTTAGATATTATGTACGTATGCAAGTCCCATTGTGCACGTATATTTTGCAGGGAAGGGAATTAAACATTTTGAAAATTTTCAATCGTTTTTCAGCATTTTATATTTTTCTTGCAAAATTGCTCATCTTTAGCGATATTCGAAATTTTCTCCCCTTTTCTCCAACCTATCAGTTTCAGTTTCAAATCACTTTCACAATTACATTCTCATCAGCGTCTCCTTTTAAAGCACAAACACACAAGAACATTTCTATATCTCCCGTTCTAATGGACTGACTGACAAACTTGTGTTTTTCATTTCTTGAAAGTGCGGCTTAAGATATATATTAGATTTATATATAGCCTTGTTGTAACATAGGTATTTTGACACAAAATCCGACTTTTTCTGAAGTGATATCATATTGTTGCGATTTTTCTTTTCTGACACCAGTTGTTACCTTATTTTCTTTCTTAACGTTCTAACGGGGTTTGTGTGGATTTGGAGTGAATAACGACGACACTTGATGAAGTATCGAAACACACTTTATTGGTCGAGATCAATCAGGATAGCTCCAAAATCTCGTTTAAGTGTCGAACGTAACGCTGACACGATCACGAATGGCTTTCAGGTTATCAGCTATCATGGGAGCAGCTTCACTGCAAAGCACAGAGTACAACTCCGATCTGCTCGGTCGTTCTCGGAACTCACGCTCTCGGACTCTCACGTGAACACCGCGAGCCTCGACGCACACAGAGCACAGCTCCAGACTTTCGGTTCGTCGTTTCGGAACTAACCCTCTCCTAATGCCTAACCGCATACACTAGGAGATCTTTCGGTGCACTCGACTACCCCTCGGCACTCCCTGCATCTGTCAACTCGATCGCTCCGCATGGCTAAATCTATACACACAACTCTCACACTACAGGCACACTCTTACTGACTGGGACCAGCGGGTTCTATAGTTTCCTTATGTTCGAGAACATTCGAGTTAAACCGGTAAGAATCGTTCAGAGTTTTCCATCCGTCTGGTATATCGCTATTTGTCACCAATGGTTATTCTCGCAAATGCAACCCTGCCTTCAATTGCCATTTTATGGCAACCCTAAAACTGCTTTGCGGGGAAGTCATTTTACCGCGCTTGTACATTTCGTAACAATATTTTTTTCTATATTTTGATTCTACGATTCAAATTATGCCACAGTCCCAAGTTTTGTAAAAATCGAACGTGAATTTTTTAAAAAAATTAGCTCCCTCAATTTTAGCTCCTTAGTGTTAATTGAATTTCGTTATATATTCATTAATATATCCTTTTTTTTTCCCTGCTAAACTTGATTCTTTCTTTCACAGTTCAAAATTTAGATTCAATGCGAATAAAATTCGCAGTTATTTTCTGATTTGTCTTTAAAATTTGTATTTTTCAGTAATTTTTAAAAACTTTCGAAAACATTTTTGAATTATAACCTATAAAAATTTTATCATCATTTTAAGCAGATGTTTCTCTAAGCATACCTGCAAACAATTACAGTTTTTCTTTCAAAACTTCTTGACATGTACGTGAATTTACAAACTGGCACATTTTCAAATTTGGCATCTTTGTTTTAAGCAATAATAACGCCAAATATGCTTTATGAATAAAGCAAATATGACCTACGATTAAAATATATAATAGACAGAAAATTATTAAAGAATGAACTATGCACCTTTTTTCTCGCTCGTGCACAATGAAAGGAAAAGGGAAGTAGGTTACCATAAATTACGAATTTTGTGGAGTGAACTGTTCTTGGCCAAACCGAAAAAAAAAAAAAATCTGAAATGTTTCAGATTTTAAATACGTCAAAGGGGCGTTTTTTAACGTTTGAGTGGTTACCTTAATTTTAAGACATTTCTTTTCACTTAAACCAGAAAATTAAGTCAAGAGCAATATCGCAAAATAATGTTAATAAGCATATCTTTAGAATTTCCGCACTGCGGAGATAAAATTTTTTTTTACTAACTGCATCTCGCTTTAACATTGCGTTTGTAATCAAAATTCGTTAAAGTTTTACAAAAATAAAATCTAGAATAAAACAAATTCCAAATTTGGGATTTCAGATGCCCTGCGGGTAGGATTCGTCATTTTCAAATCGATGGCTCTATCCATTGTTTTATCCAATGCGAGAAATGGACAATCCTTCCTGAGATTTTTCATTATTTAATTTTTCAATATAATGAGACTCTAACATTTGGTGGCACGTTTGAAAAGTGAACCGACGTTTATGAGTCCGACGCAAAATCGCAAAACGAAAACAATAGTCCTTCAGGGACAAAGCCCCTTTGGACTAACAAAACGAAAACAATAGTCCTCTTGAATTTCTCGGTAAGATTTTCATCAAATTTCATAAAAGTTTAGTATTTAGAAATAATGTGGGTCGTCATCGAAACGTGGAAATAAATCGATATGTCATTTGAGAAAAAAAATCGGGTTGTGTGTCAAAATACGTATGTTAGAACAATGGTATATATAATATGTATCTTAAGTCGAGCTTTAGAGATATTAAAAACTTAAGTAAAATTTCGTGAATCGGCCCGGTAGAACGAGAGATATGGAACTGTCTCATTCGTGCAGAGTGTACCTTTTCATTTCGCTTTCATCATACATTGTCTCATTTTTCATTGTCGTCCCCATTCTCAACTTCAAACTTCAATTGACATGCTTTATTGTCAAGTACGCAATTCCACGCTTACACGTGGCTTTAAGAAACGATAGTGTTATGTCGGCTACTAAGCTCCATGATAATGCAGAGCTGATACCAGAGATATCAACTCTGCATTCATCTGATACCAGAGATAGAGAGGGGTTTGCAATTATTGCAATTGCAAACCCCTCTCTATCTCTGGTATCAGATGTAAGAAGTATGAAATGGATTGCACCTAACGCAAATGGTGATTAAAATGACATACGATAATATTAGCTTGCAATGTCACACCTTGGCGTGATCATAGATCATCAAAACTGTTACATCATTACCACTACAAGCGAGCTAACAAAATCTTTGTTTGATAAAATCGCTATCATCGCATCAAGTTGAAATCCTTTCTTGTTAATCCTGTATCTTGCCAAGATTAAAAAACAACCCACGCTCCTGTGTTCGCAGATGCGTGGAGAAGCCACCCATTGACAGATGATTTGAAGATACAGCTGCCAGGACTTGGAAGAACTCAACTCAAAGAGCTGCAAGGGGCCACTTTTAGGGAAAAGCAATCTGCAATCTGATCATCTTTACCCCTCTCCAGAGCAAACAAATCGAAGGGAGCATAATTTAGATAAGGAAAGGTAAGTAATATTTGTTTCTAACTGTTGTGATTGGCTTTCAGTGTCGATAGTTAGCTTAGTAGTGATGAGGGGTAAGAATAAAATCATTGTTTGTGTGATATAGCACCATATTCAGGAGATTTATAATGTAACCTGATAATACCAATAAGACACAATTGTTAAATAAGACACAAGATTTAGGAATTATGCGAAAATATTTATATATTACAAATGATCAGTTAATGTACGAGGTATTTTCACCCTCCGTCCAGCTGGCCTTCGTGGTGTAACGGTAGCACAATCGCCGTGTATTCGAGAGGCCTTCAAAAAATCCTAATTGCTCTACAATGGCGTCCAAACTAAAAGGTAGTGGATGATGATTCTTCACCACTATGGTGATTGGCGACTCCTAATCCCAAATCGCCCTTTAAAGGAGGGGGGAATTTTCTCCCTCCTTTCTGCAAACCTTCGTGGTTAAAAACGGTTAGCACACTCGGCGCGTATTCGAGAGGTCCAGGTTCGAGAATCGGGGAGGGCATTGCACATTTTTCATGTCTCTACAAATGTAAATCTTTGTATTACTATTTCAAACAAAATTTGTTCGATACAGGAATTTTGGCTCAATCAATTTTCTCTTATGGAAATTATACACTAAAATTTTAATCAGGCAACAGGACCACCGTATTCGCGGATAACACTTTTGTGATTTAAATACGTTATTTATAAAAATACGGATAGCACTCAGTGCGTGTTGAATATAAAATGATATTCACGCAGCATACGTAAATAAGGAAACTGATAAATTAATTTGTTAAATAAAGTAATAAAAGAAATCTGAAAGTTTTCAGATTTTATATTACGCCTAAAGGGGCTTTTTTTTTAAAGTTTTGTGTGTTACCTTTATTTATTAAATAACATGTTCTTCGCACTTAAACCATAAAGTTCAATTCAACAGCAATATCGCAAAATAATTTAAAAAGAGCATATCTTTAGAATTTCCGATACACAGTCTCGTGCGCTAGAGATAATTTTTACTTCCTTGTACGAAGTAAAAAGGAAGTATTGTAATCGCGAAAAGTTTCAGGCAGCATATTTCAACGAAAATAACCATTTTGACCGCTTTCGAATGCAATTTAACGATGCTTTTGCGTGATATCGGTACGTAAGGACAGAATAAAAGACATTTTTCCCCCTCTAAAAAAAGTACAAAACTGCTTTAAAATGAATTCTGTAGAGAATTTTTCGTGGCGTCTGTACGATCGTACGCATGTATGTATCTCACATAGCTCAAAAACTAGTAGTCTCAGAACGTTGAAATTTTGTATTTTGTAATATAATTTGCTATAATATGTAGATTGTGTACCTCCCTATTTTGGTTGCAGTGAGCCGCACTAAAAGTATATAAATATATTTATATATAATATATATTCACTCTGTTACTCGGTTCAGGTGAGCTCAGTTTTTTTTTATGCCGTTATATGTTTGGTAAACTTGTGCATTTTTCGCTTTAAAAATGATTGAATTATATTGTTTTTTATCTTCCGGTTAAGGTTTTTATGCCTTTAGTAAATCTGTATGCAATATTTTTAGAATTATCAACAATTTTAAAGTTGTTTAAGTGCCGTTAAGCTTTTTTTTTCACGGCGGCCATTGATTGTTTACGTTTGAAACAGCAGACTAGTGGATTTGTTGGCAATCTAGAGAAACTTAGCTTCGCAACGACAAAGATAACGCCTTTATTTATTATTGCCAATTAAATCATGCTTAATCCTTTCTGTAATTTTTTAGAGGAAATAAGCGTTTAAGATTTACTTCGTAATTTTTAATTAGATATTTTGAGTTTTTATGTATTTTTGCCTTCTCATGAAGTGAGAACTGAATTAATTGAATGAGAAATACTCAGTAGTCTGTGAAAAACTGTTCCTTTTTTGTTTTGTTTGCTTAATTTCTTTTATACATTGTTCCAGCTTTATTATAGTATTTGAACAGAACATGTGGCAACGTTTAGATAATTCTTTAAATGATATGAATTTTTTGCATTCTGAGTTATAATATGAATGAAATATAATACTGTTAAGTGAACCTAGCGCCAGAGTGTCGCTATGGTAAACAAATAGAGTGAATTTTAAAGAATGAATTTATTCTACTGCGGTTTATGCACTGTCGGCGAAGTAGATTTAATTCAATCCAATAAGTTTAAACGAAATGCCAGAAAAAATGCGTATAATTTAATATTCCGTACAAGGAAGTCATGTGGTGTACACATCAGATTTTTTTTATTACTTTCGTACAGTGTTGCCATTGCTTGATTTGAAATCGTCGACTTTCTTAATCAAAAACTCGTAAATGCCTTACAAAATACGAAATAGATAATAAAACAAATTCCGGCTTTCAGATGTCCATATTCGAGTGTAGGATTACTTTATTCAACTTTGGATGGTTTGGATGGATGGACAGACCCTTTGAATTAATAAATACTTAGCACGCTATATTATGTTTTTCCGGAACGTATATAACTCGTTTATTTGAAAGAAAGTTATTCTGAATGTTTTGTCATAAAAGAGACATTATAGAATATTTAAAATGCTAGATCTGTAATGTACAAATAGTTTCACGAGATAATGAAAGAAAAAAAATTCTGAAAGATTTCAGATGTTAAGTTGTCGAAAAGAGTTTGTTAAGGTTTTTTATTCTTCCACTGAGCTCGCGCTCTACCAGTTTGATATTGCATTCACTCCTGCTAATCTTTTTTTTTAATATTTTTATCTTTTTAGATTTATTATTAAATAGTTTAGCTTTACTTTCTTCGTTCTTACGCCACATAGAATTCAACACCAAAATAAAAAAAAATTAATTAATTAAATACATCCAAAGGGGCGTTTTTTTAACATGTTGTCTGTTAGCTTTATTTATTAAATATCACATTCTTCGCGCTTAAACCATAAAATTCAGTTCAAGAGCAATATCGCAAAATATTTTTCTTTTTAAATTGAGCATATCTTTAGAATTTCTCGAGCGCTGGAGATAAAAATATTTTTTCCGTACAACGTTGCCATCACTCGCTTCGAAATCCTTGAGTTTGTTAATAAAAAATTCATTAAAGATTTTACAAAATATGAAATCGATAATAAATCAAATTCCAAATTTCAAATTTGCGCTTCCACATGCCTCTATTCGCAGTAGGATTACGTCATTCAAAATTCGATGGCTCTATGTACCGTTGTTTTGTCACAATGCGAGAAATATACATGCATTTATGCAGATTTTTCATTATTTAATTTCTTCAAATATAATGCAGGACTCTAACATTTGGTGGCAACAGTTTGAAAAGTGAAACGGTCATTTATAGTGAACCAACGCAAAATCGCAAAACGAAAATAAGTCCTTCAGGGACAAAGCCCCTTTGGATTAAAAATTTTTAAAAGCTGCATAGCAGCATATTTTCAGAATTTGTGATTCAGTGTCAAGTGTTAGTATGCATTTTTTATCTTTTCTCCGTTTAGTACATCAATATTCAGTTTCCATAGTCAGATAGCTAACATTTTTTTTTATTATTATCTTTTTAATGTGATTAGTTTATTAATTAAATATCGCATTTACGCCATATAAAATTCTTTTCACCAGCGATATCATAAAATATTTAAAAACAGCTTATCTTTAGAATTTCCGATAGACAGTCTGGCGCGCTGGAGATAAAAGTGTTGTATTCCGTGGTGTAGCCACTGCTCACTTTCAGATCGTTGAGTTTGCTGGTTAAAAATTCCTTAAAGTTTTATAAAATAGGAAATAATAAAACGAATTCAGAATTTAAAAGTAGGACTTCTAGGTGCACTTTTTGCAGTGGAGGACTACGCTATTCAAAATTTGTTTCATCTCGGTACCGTCGTATTTTCAGAATGCGAGGAAAATACACAGCTGCAGATTCTTCTTTGTTTGAGTTCTTGAACTACAATAGAGGAGAATAATATTTGGTGGCAACAATTTGAAAAGTTATATCCTTTTTATAGTGAATCGATGCAAAAGCCCTTTCAAGACTAATACCTATTTCAGGGCTAATTTTTTTTTACCTCTTGTAGAAGAGCTCGATAAGAAATCATCCACGAAAATTTGATTATTTTTATAAACTTTTAATACAGTTCTTCATTTTAATATACATGAAGTAATATTAGTCCTTATATTAAGTTTTGTTGTCTCTTAACTTTGGTTTAGCACTGAGAACTGGCCTGGGTTCCCCACAGAGAGTATGGTTGACTAAATTGATATTCTGCGGTTTTTCCTTCAAGGTGTATGATGAATGGGAATAATGTTAATCGTAAATATCATAAAATGTTTCCTCAAGGAATCGTCCATGAATTTTACTTCATTCACATAACCATCGCTTCTTTTATTGTAACTAATTATCTATATGCTAATAACTAAAATTTACAATATGGGGCTATCATTTTATATTAAACAGTTTATGTAATTTATACTTTATTTTTGGATTTGTTAGATTATTTAGATTATTTTATTTAAGCAAAGCAAAGCAAACAAGGACCATCTTGTCTAAGCTTTACAGCAATTTTGACTTAGAGTTATAAGGTATTTCGCCCGCCTTCTTAGCATGCCTTCGCAGTGTAGTGGTCAGCACTCTGGGCACGTATTCCAGAGGTCCGTGGTTCGATTCCAGGCGAAGGCGTTGCTCATTTTTCATCTCTCCTGCTTCGAAATAACCTAATGTCGCTACAGAGTGCTCCAAAGAACAAGGATCTCCTACTCTCTTTTTCAAATGTTTACTCTGTTGCATGGGGTGTATCTCACAAAGATACACTTCATGAAGGCCTATAAAGTACTACTTTAAGATTTTTATTTTTATTTATTTTTTTATACGGCACTATATGGCACACTATACGGCAATGTAAAAAAACCTTTCATTTATTAATAAATACTAGATAAGGGCGGACATGGGCAGAACCGATTAACCACAATGGTAGAGGGATAGTGGAAACGTCCTCCGTTTTAATACTACAATTAACAACAAC